ACTGAATCAGATTCGGATTTTGGGCAATTATGGTTGTAATCCACCTCATAATCTACCAACTCTCAACAATTGTCAGAATGTTTGTATAAAAGGGGGGCACCACCCCCGATTAGGGGATCCTTGGAGAAAAAAAGAGACATCCCATAATACAAAGAGAAAAAGCATGCTTAGTGAAGTATTGTTAGCTCCCTGAAGCATTATTAGTTCTCCTATGTAATATTCCTCTTGTAATCACCCCATTCACAACCCAAAGCAATAACTTAAGTGGATGTGGGCTTGGTCTTAACCTGCCGAACCTCTTTAAAAATCTTCTTGGGTGATTATTATTTGATTGTGTTACCATTTACTTGCTGATTTTAATTAATCATACACACATCCTACTCAATCCCACTGCGGTCGACTAGGTATCTTTGGTTGTTATAGATTTTTGTAACAACAGTAATAAAAACGTATCATAGCTACCTATGCCATCAAAAAGAGACCATTAAACCACATTACACAACAAATATGCATAATGTAGTACATCCCTTGTATAACTCTTTTTCTCCTAGAATTGTCTTCACTTTATATGGATCGTTTTACTTTTAAAGATATTTATAAAGATGAATGAATGTGCAAATATTCATTTTTTATATATTTAACTTTGTCTATATACTAGCGGCTGACATACATCTTGGGTGACTAGGGATATTTTGTTAAATTTTAAACTTTTGTTGTTGCAGTGTTTCAGCTAAATTTTCAAATGTATAGGGTTAAAAGCAATACTCTAAATAATAATAATATTATTATTAAAAAGGAAGGACAATTTTGGAAAAACCCCTTTGATTATATTTTATTCCTCACAATCAAATATATTAATTATTTATACCCACCATTATAACCAAATATATTAATATAACATTCCTCATTAATCTTTAAGGTAATCTATCAAAGTGGTAATCCTATTTTTTCAGTAATAAAAAATTTTGCGAACCAAACGCTACCGTAGGGAAAAGATTGTAAAGTAGAATTAAGTCAAATGTATGTTTTACTTATTATTTATTTTGTTTATGACCAAGGGTATTTGGGTCAGCTTACGTCTATCTCAACTAATTTTCAGGACCTTAGAACTACCGACCTCTAGTTACTATCCCTATTAGCACCAAGAAAGGACTCGAACTCAGTACTTCTTGAGTAATATACCTAAGAGTCTCTATCAAACCACTTGGTCACCCATAGTTATTTTAAATGTATGTTTTACTCATCTTTACTCTTTTAATTCACTACGTGAATCAATTTTTTTCGTAAATTCATAATCCAAAATACATTAGGGAACAACAATATTTAACAAAATCAATTATATATCCTTCTTATGTCTAATTGATTTTTTAAAAGAAAAAAAATTGAGGTAAATGTTAGAATTTGAGGTGGGCCTAACTCCTCACCCAATAAGGCATTGTTGAATGGGAGGATTACCCCCTCTTATAACCCAATAGGCTTGAGCGTGCCTAGTCGATGTGGGACTCCAACACTCCCCCTCACGGTCAAGCCCATATGTTGGGTCATGCTTGTTATTGGAGGTAGTTGCTGGATCTAACTCCTCACCCGCTGGTCAAGCGCTAAGCTCAACTAAACCTGGGCTCTGATACCATGTTAGAATTTGAGGTGGGTCTGACTCTTCACCCAATAAGGCCTTATTGGGTTTGGATTATCTTCACGCTTCCGCACAAACAAGCCTCTCCTCTCTGTCCCTGCAATCAAACAGAAAACTCATTTTAGTGTTTTATTTTTCTGCAAATGGCAGATAATCCAAACCCAACTCAAACTCAATCAACTGTAGCAAACCAAACAAATGCAAATCCCACTTCAACCGGCCCAGACCCAAACCAAACCAAACCAGTTCACTCCCAACCAGTTCAATCCCAATCGGCCCAAACACACAAACCAGGCCTGACCCAGCCCGTTACCCATATGGAATGCCAGGTTATGACCCGGATTCTTTTACCCGCACCGACCCAACTCCTCTTGGAATACCGGGTGACAACCCGGAATCTGGTTCTCAAACGGGTACGGATCCAAATCCCTACCCGTATCCATTTCACTTCATCCCAGCCACAAGCAACGGTTGCCCTGAACCAGGCAACGTTCTGTTTTTGCTGGTTTCTGATGGACCAGAATTGGTCCTCATCAAACAAACCCTTATGGGTTTAGACAATTATGCATCCTGGGCTCGCGATTTCCGACGAGCTCTCATCGCAAAAGACAAAGAGCTTTTTTTGGACAAAAACTTCCGACCACCACCACAGCCACACCTCCAACACCACTAGAACCGTTGCAACACACTGGTCCGCTCATGGATCAGTAATTGCATGTCTACAGATGTCTCGACCGGACTCCCACCAATAGAGATGGCCGCCGATATATGGGCATACATCAAAGAGATGTATGGGAAACTCAATCTCGCTAAAACGTACACCCTCCGGCAGCGATTGATTGAACTCAAACAAGGAAACGCTTCGGTGACCACTTATTTCAATCGGCTCTCTACCGTTTGGAACGAGTTGGACGCTGGTGAGGAAGCTCTTGAAGGGTCGTCAGAAACTCTCCACCAATAACAATGGATCCGCAATTGCGACCATCTGTCACATTTTTTGCTCAAGTTGAATGAAATCTTTTATGCTTTTTGCACCCAAGTTCTGGCCACTTCTCTACTATCTTCCCTTCGCTGGAGTTTTCAACTGGCGGTGCAGGATGAGAGCCAACGCCAGTTGAACTCCGATCGGCCATCCACTGACTCTCTGGTTTTTGCAGGGCTTAAGGAAAACGAAGATGGGCGCTCGCGGCTAGGGCAACCTACAAAAGAAAAGGGCATGAATTTATATGCAGAGATGAAAGGCCCAGATTTCATCTCCCGATCTGACGGCCAGAAGCTGATTGCGTTTTTAAACGCATCTAATGGCTCAAATCGAGCCACGTCACAATCCGAGTCAAACAGGCTAACCAACTGGTCAACTGGGCCCAGGTCTTGGTCAAACGAATCCTGAAACGGGTCCAATGGGTTTGACAATTCACACTCTAATCGGAGGCGATTATATTGTGACTATTGCAAACGGACCAATCATGATCGAGACCATTGCTGGAAATTACATGGTCGCCCTAAAGACAAAAATAACAATTCTTCTTCTTTTCAGGTTGATTCAGTTTCTTCCAGCAATCTGCAAGCACCCATTCTCACTTCGGATTAATATAATCAATTGCTTCAGCTTCTGAATAATGCTCCCATCGCACCTATAGCGTCTTATGCAGGTACTTCCTACTGCTTCAATTTAATTACTACTGACATGTGGATTATTGATTCAGGGGCTAGTGATCACATCATTTGTAATCCAAAATTTTTCCACTCTATTTGCACTACCTCATCCACCTCTGTTCGCATGCCAAATGGAAACATAACCCCGGCCACTCACATAGGCACTGTCCAATTATCCGAAAATTTATTCCTTAAAAATGTCCTATGTGTCCCTACTTTTCATTTTAACCTCATATCAGTATCCAAACTATGTGAAGACAATACTTGCACTGTAAAATTTTGTTCTAACTCATGTGAATTTCAAGACCCTTCGACTGGGATACTGATGGGCTTGGGTAAGGTTCATAGAGGTCTATACTACTAGGCACCGGCTAAGTCTTCTAGAATTTTTCATCCTTGTATTACACCCAATAAAATTACCAATTGTAATGCAACAATTAATAAAAACTCTTTTATTCTCCATCAAAGGTTAGGTCACAGTGCTACTATTCCCCAACCTCATTGTCCCATCTGTCCGTTAGCTAAACAAGCCCGAATTACTTTTCCACATAGCACTTCCACTACGACACAACCTTTTGCCCTAATCCATCTTGATATTTGGGGACCTTATCACACTCCAAATCATGATAGATCCTGTTTTTTCCTCACCATTGTTGATGACTTTTCTCGGGGTACATGGACTTTTCTCATGCAATCCAAAGCTCAAACACTTACCCACATCACACACTTTCTAGCCACGGTCAACACACAATTTCATACTTCTGTCCAAAGGATTAGAACAGACAATGCTAGAGAATTCTTTAATCATAATTGTTCTTCCCTTTTTTCATCACTCGGGATACTGCATGAAAGCTCTTGCACCTATACTCCATAACAAAATGGGGTTGTCGAACGAAAACACCATCATCTACTAGAAGTAGCCCGTGCCCTCAAACACCAAGCCCACCTACCTATCTCTTTTTGGGGCGAATGTGTGATCACTGCTACCTACCTGATCAACCACATGTCTAGTAGAGTCCTTCATGGAAAGACCCCTTATGAGGTATTATTCCAGAAGCAACCATTTCTTGATCATCTTCGAGTCTTTGGCTGTCTTTGTTATGCTGCCACTCTTGGATCACATGATAAGTTTGGTACTCGGGCTACCCGTTGTGTTTTTATGGGATATCCTATGCTATAGAAAGGATACAGGCTATATGATCCAGTTACCAACAAGTTTTTGATCTCCCAAGATGTTGTATTTCATGAAGACATTTTCCCATTTGCCATAGAAGACACTGTTCCATCACCATCACCATCACCTCAAGTGTTCCCTGACAATGATACTCTTCAAGATCCTCTGTTCACTATGGTTCCTAATCCACCAGTTCTTCAGCCTAGTACTTCTACTATTGACCCTGACACAACTAAAACTGATAACACTATGGCAGATTCACCGGATCAACCCCTTATTCCTCCACCCAGCTCTCCTCTTCAGGCTCCTACTGTTCATGTCCGCCGCAGCACTCGTCAGCCCAAACCACCAATCTGGGCAGCAGATTATGAGTGTCCCACCATTTCAGATCCTTCAACTCCACTGTATCCCACCTCAAACTATGTGACTTATGATCGTCTCTCTCCTATATATAGAACTTGCATCAGTAACATCTCCGCAGAAAGATAACCCACTAGTTACTTAGAGGCTGTTCAACACTCTCACTGGCGTCAAGCCATGGCTGCTAAGCTTACCGCTCTCTCTCAGAATCATACTTGGGATCTCATGCCTCGCCCCTCTCATAGAAAACCTATTGGCTATAAATGGGTCTACAAAATCAAGCATCGTGCTGATGGCTCCATAGAACGGTACAAAGCTCGATTAGTGGCCAAGGGATACACTCAGCGGGAAGGTTTTGATTATCAGGACACCTTTTCCCCCATAGCCAAACATGTCACCGTTTGTACTTTTCTTACAGTAGCTTTTGTTCGTGACTGGCCTCTCCATCAAATGGAAGTTTATAATGCCTTTCTTCATAGGGATCTTCATCAAGAAATATACATGGATCTTCCGCCAGGATTACGTAGACAGGGGGAGAACACAATATGTCGTCTGCAGAAATCCCTTTATGGGCTAAAACAAGCATCCCGACAATGGAATGAGAAATTCAGTAAAGCTCTCACTGGCATAAGATTTGTTCAGTCCAAACATGACTATGCATTATTTACCTGGAACAAAGGTAAAACTTTTATTGCTCTCATCATATATGTTGATGACATTCTTATTACAGGGAATGATGAAACAGGCATCAAATCCTTAAAGGAGCATCTTAACAGACAATTCCGAATAAAGGATTTAGGAGAGCCAAAGTATTTCCTAGGCATTGAAATTGCAAGATCCCCAGCAGGGATATCCCTTTGCCAACGGAAATATGTCTTGGAACTTATCTCTAATTCAGGACTATCAAGATGCAAGCCAAGTATCATTCCAGTAGAACGGAATACAAAGCTAACTACTCAAGAATATGACAGTGGGATATCATCTTCCGAAAATGATCCACCACTGGAAGATCTTACAAAGTATCAAAGACTTGTTGGGCGATTGATCTATCTCACCATGACTCGTCCAAACATTAGTTATGCAGTCCACATTCTTAGCCAGTTCATGCATGGGCCCAAACAATCTCACATGGATGCAACAATAAAGGTTCTAAAGTACTTGAAAGGATGTCCTGGATTAGGACTCCTCTTTCCCCGAGACAAAGAATTAGTTGTCACAGCTCATTGTGACTCAGACTGGGCCACATGTCCAATGACAAGAAAGTCACTTACAGGTTTCTGTATCAAGTTAGGGGGAGCTCTTGTTTCTTGGAAGACCAAGAAACAATCAACAATATCTCTATCTTCAGCAGAAGCCGAATACAGAGCCATGACCAAAACAACATGTGAGATCATCTGGATTTTGGGGTTATTAGAAGATCTAAAGGTACAAGTAAGAAAGCCTGTCCTTTTATACTGCGATAACAAATCTGCAAATGACATCACAGCAAATCCAGTATTCCATGAAAGGGGCCTAACTCCTCACCCAATAAGGCATTGTTGAATGGGAGGATTACCCCCTTTATAACCCAATAGGCTTGAGCGTGCTAGCGATGTGGACTCCAACACTCCCCCTCACGGTCAAGCCCATATGTTGGGTCATGCTTGTTATTGGAGGTAGTTGCTGGATCTAACCCTCACCCGCTGGTCAAGCGCTAAGAACTAAACCGGGCTCTGTACCATGTTAGAATTGAGGTGGGTCTGAATCTTCACCACTAAGGCCTTATGGGTTTGGATTTCTTCACGCTCCGCACAAACAAGCCTCTCCTTCTGTCCTGCAATCAAACAGAAAACTATTTAGTGTTTATTTTTCTGCAATGGCAGATAATCCAAACCCAACTCAAACTCAATCAACTGAGCAAACCAAACAAATGCAAATCCCACTTCAACCGGCCCAGACCCAAACCAAACCAAACAGTTCACTCCAACCAGTTCAATCCCAATCGGCCCAAACACACAAACAGGCCTGACCCAGCCCGTTACCATATGGAATGCAGGTTATGACCCGGATTCTTTACCCGCCACGCACCCAACTCCTCTTGGAATACCGGGGGAAACCCGGAATCTGGTTCTCAAACGGGTACGGATCCAAATCCTACCCGTATCCATTTCACTTCATCAGCCACAAGCAACGGTTGCCCTGAACCAGGCAACGTTCTGTTTGTGGTTTCTGATGGACCAGATGGTCCTCATAAACAAAACCTTATGGGTTTAGAAATTATGCATCCTGGCTCGCGATTTCCGACGAGCCTCATCGCAAAAGACAAAGAGCTTTTTTGGACAAAAACTTCCGACCACCACCACAGCCACAACTCAACACCACTAGAACCGTTGCAACACACTGGTCCGCTCATGGATCAGTAATTGCATGTACAGATGTCTACGGACTCCCACCAATAGAGATGGCCGCCGATATATGGGCATACATCAAAGAGATGTATGGGAAACTCAATTCGCTAAAACGTACACCCTCCGGCAGCGATTGATTGAATCAAACAAGGAAACGCTTCGGTGACACTTATTTCAACGGTCTTCTACCGTTTGAAAGAGTTGGAGCTGGTGAGGAAGCTCTTGAAGGGTCGTCAGAAACTCTCCACCAATAACAATGGCCGCAATTGCGACCATCTGTCACATTTTTTGTCAAGTGAATGAAACTTTTATGCTTTTTGCACCCAAGTTCTGGCCACTTCTCTATATCTTCCCTTCGCTGGAGTTTTCAACTGGCGGTGCAGGATGGAGCCAACGCCAGTTGAACTCGATCGGCCATCATGACTCTCGGTTTTTGCAGGGCTTAAGGAAAACGAAGATGGGCGCTCGGGCTAGGGCAACCTACAAAAGAAAAGGGCATGAATTTATATGCAGAGATGAAAGGCCCAGATTTCATCTCCCGATCTGACGGCCAGAAGCTGATTGCGTTTTTAAACGCATCTAATGGCTCAAATCGAGCCACGTCACAATCCGAGTCAAACAGGCTAACAACTGGTCAACTGGGCCCAGGTCTTGGTCAAACGAATCCTGAAACGGGTCCAATGGGTTTGACAATTCACACTCTAATCGGGCGATTATATTGTGACTATTGCAAACGGACCAATCATGATCGAGACCATTGCTGGAAATTACATGGTCGCCCTAAAGACAAAAATAACAATTCTTCTTCTTTTCAGGTTGATTCAGTTTCTTCCCGCAATCTGCAAGCACCCATTCTCACTTCGGATTAATATATCAATTGCTTCAGCTTCTGAATAATGCTCCATCGCACTATAGGTCTTATGAGGTACTTCCTACTGCTTCAATTTAATTACTACTGACATGTGGATTATGATTCAGGGGCTAGTGATACACTCATTTGTAATCCAAAATTTTTCCACTCTATTTGCACTACCTCATCCACTGTTCGCATGCAAATGGAAACATAACCCCGGCCACTACATAGGCACTGTCCAATTATCCGAAAATTTATTCTTAAAAATGTCCTATGTGTCCCTACTTTTCATTTTAACCTCATATCAGTATCCAAACTTGTGAAGACATACTTGCACTGTAAAATTTTGTTTAACACATGTGAATTTCAGGACCTTCGACTGGGAAACTGATGGGCTTGGGCAAGGTTCATAGAGGTCTATACTACTGGGCACCGGCTAAGTCTCTCGAATTTTTCATCCTTGTATTACACCCAATAAAATTACCAATTGAATGCAACAATTAATAAAAACTCTTTTATTCTCCATCAAAGGTTAGGTCACAGTGCTACTATTCCCCAACTCTCTTGTCCCATCTGTCCGTTAGCTAAACAAGCGAATTATTTTCCACATAGCACTTCCCCTTACGCCTACCTCAACTAATTTTCAGGACCCTAGAACTACCGACCTCTAGTTGCTATCCCTATTAGTACCAAGAAGGAACTCGAACTCAGTACTTCTTGAGTAATATACCCAAGAGTCTCTATCAAACCACTCGGCCATCCAGAGATAATTTAAATGTATGTTTTACTCATCTTTACTCTTTTAATTCACTACGTGAATCAATCTTTTTTGGTAAATTCAAAATCAAAAATACATTAGGGAACAACAATATTTAACAAAATCAATTATATATCCTTCTTATGTTTAATTGATTTTTTTTTTTTAAAAAAAAAATTGAGGTAAAAAATATAGTTTTGAGTGTATGAATGATAAAATATTAAAATCTGTATTAAGTTCTCCACTTCATAATACAAAATACGGGATACTTTCAAGTGGTAAATTTATGGGCCCTGTTTTAGAAGATTGTATTGGGCTTCAAGCGAACCCAAAAAGAAAAGGGTTGGATCAATGCTCACTCAAAGGACGGGAAATTGACACAAACCCTTATTATCGGCCTCTTATATAAACATAGGCGTTTCCCATTTAAGGCAATCAAATCGGAAGACGAAGATCCCAAACCCTCTTCGTGAAGTAACCATGGAAGAGGCAAAATCAAATACAAGTGAGACGGTAACACCGTTTGCGAATCCTCATTCTTACTCCAACAAAAGAAATATCAATCACAATGCTCACCTCCCTACCTCCTATTACTACAAAATCCGTCTTATTGCTCGTCAACTTCGTCCCCACTTCATACAGGTATGTTTATATTCTCTATAAATATTGTGCTTGTTTTGTTTATATTATCTTTTCTTTTCTTTTACTCTTTGGTAGCTTTATCTTATTTCTCTTGTATAGGATTATAAATAAGGATTGTGGTGCCAAATTCATACGGATGCAGGTGGCCTTTCATAAATTTTTTTTAGTTTCCCTTCATTTTATTTTATTTTTTTTTTAATTTTATGTTTTAGTGATTAAACTGGAATGGTCTGGATTTCACATTTTGTGAACAAAGTACCATTTTATATCTTTGCCTTAAACATAACTCTAGAATATTCAGTTAAAGCAGGAATGGTTGGGTGGCAGCCAGCTCGGAGTCAGCCGTTTGCCTCCATAGGTTGGCTTAAATTCAAGTAGCTCATTTTACTTTGAGGCCGCATGAAATTGATGAAAATGTGTTGATTGCTTCAATTTGTATTTGTTGGGGTTCAGTTACAGGCAGTAATTTTTCTGATTGGTTATAACATATAACATGCAAGCTCCTGAGATGTTAAGCGCCAAAATCCTTCGTACGTCAAGGAAATAATTCAAGAGTTGAATTTTGACTGTTGTTGCTGTGTGAATTTTGAGTATAAGAGAGTTCTGGGAAATATGTAGGGAAATTCTTCTCAATATCATGTGAGCTGGGAGAAGGGTGTGAAAGGATTCAATGCTTGTGCTTGAGAATTAAGCTTGTACTGTCAAAGTTGGCAGGGATTTTCGCTGAATCATGTATATCTAGTATTCTTTTTTTATTGTGATATTTTCACTCTGTGTTTGGTAACTCTCTTTATTTTCAGATCCACAAATCCTGTTGGACTGTTTCTTCCCTGACAGGAATTTGATTAATACTCATACACGATGTAATATGTAAATGCTGAGTGTTTGGTTTGTATTTAGGTGAGTCATCTAAGGTTCTTAAGGAGAGAATTCCACAAGGGGAATTAGACACTGTTCCTTGTGTTGAAACTTAAGACATATTTAGGGAGGATTTCTGAATGAGTTTGATAAAAATTGGTTTTCAGATTTTCATTTTTAACAAATTATTTTAGGCGGTCATGTTTCGTCAAGACAACTTGTTATCATCTTAATTATTGCTGTAAAATTTGAGCCTGACTTAATGTGCTCAATCAATTGAATGAAGTTTTAATGCATTTGATTGGTGTTTCTCCCCCACCCCCACCTTGTCTGTCTACCACCCAACAACTGCAGCTTTTGATTCTTGACTTGCTCTTCTTGTTCAGCAACTGTATACTTAATATCTAATAGGAGAATTTTTTTACCACAGATCCGCAATAGTGTTTACCAATACAACTTGTATGCTTAATCTCTAATAGGTGATTTCAATGTTTTAGTATGTTGTGATGAACTTATATTGAGGAGGTTACTGCAGTTTATAGGACTTCAATATGTTTAAGTACTTATTGCTGTTGTGCTTCTAGTTCTTCTAATACTTATTGCAATGTGTTGTTCCTTGTCTCAATGGAACTCTCATTTAAGTCATCTGCTACTAGTCCTGGCAATATCTAGTGCTTCTTCTTATTTTTATCTTTTTTCCCAATTCATATAATTTTTCGTGAAGAGTCACATATACAGTTAATTTTCGTTTAATATGTAGGTTCTCCAAACACCTGACTTTCGAACTTGCAAAGCAGCTCATGAAGTTCAAGAACGTGAGTTTCCTAAGACATCTATTGTATATTGAATGTACTTGCATATTCATAAAACTGTATGGGTGTCTGGTCTTTTTTTTCAACTGATGTGCTTTGGCCAGCTGCCTTCCTTCTTTGTTTGATTCATGAACCAGGATTTTGGCTTTGGCTTACCTTTTCAGGAAGTTTTGTTGGCTTGCCTTTTAAGAGCCTAAAATTTAGTTTTATTTCATAAATCATTCTATTGGAAATGTCGTAGAACATGAAAAAATAGTCTAGCCACTATATAAGCTCAGTAATAACCTGATGCTTTCTGTTGAAGTTTGCCATGTATCCTGATGATGGGAGGTGTGATGCTACTCTGCATCACTTCCTTGTACATTTATGGGGATTTCCCATATTCAATTTTACGCAAGATAAGCTTAGTGTGTATTGTTTTTGAAAGCATATATAATAAGGCATGTACTTTCTGCATGCAGAGATGAAGCTTATGGTGCATTTGCACAGACAGATGATTGCTGAGACAGACCAAATCAAACACCGAGAAGGAAAACAATCAGAGCTGCTTAAACCCAAAAACTCTCAGGAGCAATCATCAGTAAAGAAGCCTCAAACATCTGCATTAAGCTCAGAGAAGAAGAATGATGATATTGGCCAGATTCGGGAAAGCTATATTGTGGGTGGATCAGTCTTTGGTTGGAACTTCATCACATTTTCTGGAGGTCAACCAGTTTATTATGGAGTAACTAGGGAGTCGTTTCGAAGTAGACATAAGAAGTAAGATCAGTAGTCTGCCTATAACAAGTGATGTTTTTGATGACTAGAAGTTAGTTTAGAAGTAGCCACCAATAGTTATGTACAAACTAAATAGACCGGATCAGTGCGCTTATACTAAATCAAAATGGATAGAAATTTTTTTGATAAGAGAAGTAGAGTATTCATATCATATTTCCTTTTAATTCTTTATTCATAGTTGATTTTGTTGTTTGGATCACAACAGTTATAATTTTAGAAATATTTAAAATATATGTGAAATTTAGAAATGACAATTGAGTTTCACGTGATTAGGTAAAGGTATAAAGTGGGCGATGGGTAGTTCATGAGGCATCCCTTGTATTAGAGTAGTTGATGGAGGTAGTTGAAATAAATATTTAGGTTGATTTCTGGTGAAGATTATGTTTGGAATGTTTGTTCATTTCAGGTTGAGAGGATTTCTAAGAGGTTGAAGTTATTTTATTTTTTTCTGTTTTGATTTAGAGAAAATGATGATACATAATTATTTCTAGGAGATAATGAATTTCTTTTGTTGATGTACATTTTCTTTTACTAATAAATATTATTGAGGTTATTTTAACATGATTGATTGTATCAATTAAAAAAATTAATTACCTGATGTTAAGAGTAGAATTGTCAGTTTTTGAAAATTTTAAGGTAAAAAGTATGCTTTGTCAGAAGCTATGGATATAATTGTATTTTTACCAAACTTTAACTGTATCAACGTACTTAATCAGTTAAACTTCAAAGCAGCCGAACAACGGCTACAACCGGTCTTAGGGGGATTTTTGTAATATTTCAAAATTATAAGGGTTACTTTATAATTTTATAGGGGTGTTTTGGAGATATTGTTAGAAAAATGGCTCATTTAGCAAATCACATGGGGATAGAAGTGATAATGGAAAAAAGGTTTAGGGATTTATATGTAATAGGCCAAAATGTTAGTTTGTCCCACATTGTTTGGGAATGAAAAGTGGGAAACTTTTGGGGCCTATATATAAGGACCTAAATCATTGTTATTTGTATCCCAAGATGTAATTCCATTATACTTCTTTTGTTTAGGGTTCTTTTTTTAAAGACCCTTTAGTTTGCAAGTTTTGTTGTATCTCCCATTTGTTTTGGGTATTTATTGTATTGCCTAAAAGTTTGTAATATTGTTTAGAGATAGTGGAGTTTTCTTTTGCAGCGCCCGAGGACGTAGGTTTCAATACCGAACCTCGTTAATTCCTGGTATTCTTTATTTTGCATTTAATTTTGGTTATTTATTTATGCTTTACTATTGTTATTATTATATTCAATAGCTAGCGTTAGAGTTTATGTTTCCGTTGATAATAAGTGGGATCAGAGCCTAGGTTTAGGACAGTGAGTAGCTATTTGTATGGTATATGCATGTTAGGAAAATTCTGTCAAAAAAGAGATAAAAGTCTAAGGAGACTGGATTTTAAGTGGGACCATTTGTGACCCCTCCATTATTTCCTGAAAATTTTCCTGGTGCATATTTAATCATTTCAACACTACTACTACAGGGCTATTGTTGATTTGTTGGTAGCTATTGAATATAATAATTTGTGGGCTTGGTTATTGGGAACTTGTTACCAAGCCAATTGAGTAAGGCATAAATGGCGTCATTGTCGAGGATTCATCGTCCGAGGCATCACCGTTCGCGGACCCACCATCCATGCCAGTAAAGATGATAACGGTTTCAAATGCAAAATTGATGTTGAAAAATTTGATGGCCAAAATATTTTGGCTTGTGGCAGAGTGAGGGAATGGATAGCTTGTATCAGCAAGATCTAGATATTGTTCTGGAGGAGGAAAAACCAGAAGATACTATGGAAAGACTGGGTGAGGTTGAATGTAAAAGTTCTAGAAGATTCGCTTATGTCTTTGTAGAGAGCAGAAATATCCATCATGAAAGAGACGTCTGCAAATAAGTTATGGAAGGCGCTGAAAAACAAACTATATGAAAAGAAGTAATGAGAATCGGCTCTATTTGATGAAAAGACTGTTTCGTCTTCAGTTGAGACCAGGTACAAAATACAGTAGCCATAGATACATTAACAGATTAATTGTTGATTTGTTAAATTTGGATGAAACATTCAAAGATGAGCATAAGGCTATGTTGTAATTGGATCTCTTCAGATGAGTTGGATATTTAGTATTACACTTCTTCATGGGAAAGAAAAATTGTCCTTTGAAGAAGTTTGTATGCTCTGTCCAATCATAAAATTCGGAAGAAGGATCAGAAGGAGATAGAGATGAGTCAGCAGAAGCTCTTGTAGCAAGAGGGCAGAGCAAAATCAGAGTGTAAGAAGGAGGAGAGAGGAAGATCTTGTTCAAAGGAAAAACTCAATAGGGATCAATGTGCCTTTTGTCGTGAGAATGGGCATTGGAAGAAAGATTGTCCGAAGTTGCAAAAGAAAGAGGGCAAAGCTACTTCTGATGCATGCGTTGTTGAGCGTGAAGAAGATGAGTCAGATTTCTGTCTAGTTAGCCACCATCCACCTCTGGATAAATGAGTGGATTATGGATTCAGGTGTACCTATCATATGTGTCCTCACAGGACTGGTTCTTAATTTTGAAGAACGTGATGAAGTTGTTTATATGGGCAATGATGATGCTTGTAAAACAACTGAGATAGGTTCAATTCGGTGAGAAATCATAATGGCTCAACTAAAACTTAACAGATGTTCGGTATGTACCGAAGTTGAAAAAGAATCTATCTCTTTGAGAGCCTTGGAATTAAAGGCTTCACGGTGAATATGCGAGATGGAATTCTAAAAGTTTTTCAGGCGCTCTTGTGGTAATGAAAGGCACAAGGAGAAAAACTTGTATTACTATAATGGTAGTACAGTTATTGGAACGACAACTGCAGTGTACAGGAGGATGCAGATTCAGAAATGCTCAAACTGTGGCATATGTGTGTGGAGCATACTCGGCAATAGGTGGAGTTTGAAACAATAGTTGAACCAAATAGTGTCCACGAGACAGAAAGTGATTCTGAGGTGACTAATATGGATATTATAGATGAAAAGGAGATTTTACCCTAAGAATCTATCAACAACAGGAATCGATTGCATACAATAGTCAGACGAGAGCTGCTCGTTTCGCAAGATGGTGACTTATGTACTTCCAATCGTAGGTGATGATATTCCTACTAATTATAAAGAAGTAGTTAGGAGTTCAAATTGTGAATCATGGAAACCGGCATGAATGTGAAATGTGATCCTACATAAGAATGCGATTGGGTGCAAATGGGTGTATGCAAAGAAGAAGGAATTTCCTAATAGAGAAGTTGTTCGGCACAAGGTTAGGTTGGTTGTAAAGGGATAGCTCAAATGGAAAGATTTGATTACATGAAGTGTTTTCTCCTGTGGCTAAAGTATTCTTCCATTCTAATTTTGCTAACCTTGGTGGCACAGTTTGATTTTGAACTAGTTCAATTGGATGTGAAAATCGCGTTTTCACATGATAGTTTGGAAGAGGAAATCTACAAGACTCAGCCAGATGATTATAGGGTTGCTGGAAAGAAAAACTGGGTTTGCAGATTGAAGAAATGGCTATATAGTTTGAAGCAGTCACTAAGACAGTGGTACAAGCGATTTGATCAATGTATGATGGGCCATGGGTACACAAGGCCTGATATTTCACAAGCAGTTAGTATGGTGAGCAGGCATATACATGATCCTGGTAAAGGACATTTGTAAGTTGTGAAATGGTTTCTACAGTATATTTTATGTACTATAGATATTGGTTTTGTTTTTGTGTGGGATTATATTAAAAATGGGAAAATGATTCTCCAGAAGATTGGCACAGAAGGTTTAGGGACTTATATGTAATAGGCCAAAATGTTAGTTTATCCCACATTGCTTGGGAATGAAAAGTGGGAAACTTTTGGGGCCTATATATAAGGACCTAAATCATTATTATTTGTATCCCAAGATGTAATTTCATTATACTTCTTTTGTTTAGGGTTCTTTTTTTAATGACCCTTTAGTTTGCAAGTTTTGTTGTATCTCCCTTTTGTTTTGGGTATTTGTTGTATTGCCCAAAAGTTTGTAATATTGTTTGGAGATAGTGGAGTTTTCTTTTGCAGCGCCTGAGGACGTAGGTTTCAATACCGAACCTCGCTAATTCTTGGTATTCTTTATTTTTGCATTTAATTTTAGTTATTTATTTATGCTTTACTACTTGTTATTATTATATTTAATAGCTAGCGTTAGAGTTTATGTTTCCGTTGCATAACAGATATGTCAAAAGTTTAGGTATTAATTGAATTTTATGGGGCATTTGTGAAATAAATACAAATTTTAGGGACTACTTTAACTTTTTTAGGGGAATTTTGTAATATATTAAAATTTAAGGGATTAATAATAATTTTTTTTTTTAAAAATTGTCGTTGATGTCATTGGTCCAACCAGCCGGTTGGACCGGTTGACCTGTGACCCGGACAGCAAAATAGGTTGCCCTCTAGTTCGAGTTTTAAAATAATGGGCTACATACGTTGTCAAGGGAGCATCCATAAGCACTGAAGGACAACTTTCTTAAATGATGTCGCGAGAGCGTGAAGCCGTCAAGAAAGCATCTATAATCGCTGTCCAGATATTGTTAATAAGAAAAATATATAAATATGATTATATAATCACAAGAAAAATAGGATTATATAATCACAGGAAAAATATATAAATATGTAAACAAAAATGTGTGATGGATGCTCATCATTTCAAAAGCCAAAATATACAAAAGAATATTAAATCTTTGTCATTGTCTAGTTGATGACCCAATTCTAATAATTTGAATCCCAAACGTACATTACTAAGGACTAATTCAATTAGAATGAGAAGATTTCAAAGTTTTAATTTGAAGTTTTTGTTTTGTTATTGTTTTAAATTTTTAATCAGGGTTGAAGAATGAAGATAAAGGTAATACACGAAGGAAATTGATAAGAGTTATCATATAAGAATGGCCCTAAATTTTATGTCACATGCTATTTTGACCACTGAAAGTGGCCTTATATATTCTTAGAATTACAAACAACTACACTACGCTACCACAAGGCACTATCTTCATCCCTCTAGACATTCTAAAAGAAGTATAATTTTGATTTCTCGGCTCTGTAACTTTGTGATTTTTGGGCATATCAATAGATAACACCCATCAAGTGATTTTTGAGCTACAAGTTGCATTCAAAAGTAATGGAAAAGCATGATAGCATCGTCAAGCTTCATCTGCGAGGACTCCAGGAGTATTCTGACTCTTTTTAGTCGATTGTATCTATCAAGGAGATGCCCGGTACGCCTGTCTGCTGGGAGATTTAAGAGCTGAAACAGGTTGACATAGCATGTCATTATTACATTCAAATATAAAATTATAGAGGTAGGAATGTCTGCAAAAGGGTGAAGAAAAACAAAACGATTCCAAAACTTGTTCCGATGGTGCTGAAAAAATAAATGCCTTAAAAAATAAATCTTCAAGTTCAGTCAACATTCATAGGTAATGCTATCTGAGGTAATTGCAATAATACTTATATCACCACAAATGCCATGAAATCATATAACGCGAGAAAGAAACAAACAACATGGTATCTGAGGCCCCTCAGAACCTTGACCACACAGACTATTTCCTATTACTCTGACCAGGTTGGGAAACATAATAATCAGTGTATTCCAATGTGTAAAACAATGGACTGAAACCAATAATTTGCAGCAGCAGAAAACGAAATAACATAAAGAAGAAATATAGAAAAGTAGAGAAGGCCAAGTGACCTAGTTCTAAGAATCACACATTCAACATTGTCTGGATATAAACATACATGATACAAAATGGAGGCCCCATTGGACTTCAATTCTACATTAGTATTGTTTATATTGGTTTGAAGGACAAACTAACCTCTTTTTCTTGATCCAGCTCATAAGCCAATCTAAGACTCAAATTTAAGGCAGCATGGAACATCTCATCAAGGACATACTGGCACAGAATGGTCTTATTGACCTTCCACAACAAGAACTGAGATTGTCTAGCTCCAGACAGAACTAATTTCTGTAAGGACAAAATATCATTACATTGAACTTGAAGTTCATAAAGCCATAATAATTAACTAAATTGCATAAAAAGATATACACATAAAATAAGGCAGCAACTCTGAATTATATAAATCTTGTCTTCTGAACATGTAACTGTAATTAGAAGGTTCATAGTTGCTGGACTACATGAAATATGATGAGTTATATCTCTAAATTAGGGAAACAATCTTTCTAGAAGGCTCCAAAACACAAAATATGGGGACACTGCAATCTCTACATCTATGGTTCTTTCACAGTGTAGCAGCGAATTCAAATATTTGAAGCAAAAGTTTTTAGAAATGAAATATGAATCACAATTGAAAATGATAAATTATGATCATACCTTAGATGGCCAATAAAAGAGTTGCATTAAAGTAAAGGCCATAGCTACTATAGAGCGGTTTCCTACTGTTATATTCAACAAACAGTGTTTCATGTGACTTGGTTTTGTAGAAGCCCATAGATGAAACTAGTTAGAATATGCCTTAACACAGGTAATAATTTTTGTTAACAGAAGCCCATAGATGAAACTAGTTAAAGTATTCCATAACACAGGCTAATAATTTTTTATGAACAAACACTCCAACCCTAGAGTGAGTAGGATTAGATCTCAAGATCTATAGTAAAATCAGAAAAGACGTTCCAGCTAAGCTAAATTTTGCTGATTGTGATTACTAACCACAAAGGGTGATACATAACGAGCAAAAGAGATGAAGGAGATAAAAAGGATGAAATGGAACTTTTGGATGTAGTGTGTTTCTGAATTCTACAATGATGTCACCTCAAGTATTTGTTTATTGACCACTTTGGAAGACAATGGAGGAAATAGAAATTAAAAATAATAATACTTCCTTGAACTCAAAGGCAAAAACTTGTGAATTTCTTTACAAGGAAGTGACACCACCATCTGATGACCAATTATACTAATCATAATGCCAGTGTTTTGGATAACTGAATGAACCGACAGATATGGAGAATCTAACAATGTGCCTGAGAGGTGACTAATACACAATACAAACAAAAAAGCAGGAAAACATGTGTACCTCCATATGCAAGTAATCATCCTTCCACATCTTGTAAAGAATCTTTGGTGTATCCTTCTTTTCAACAAACGTGATATCTGAAATCTACAACATTATAATAAGATTAACGGAATAAATAATAGACAAGCACAATCTTGTTAAGTCAACAACTTCTTCACTGCAGCATTTGCTTCCCAAGAAGCTCATAGTTCTTGTGGCTGATTACCAGCTCGGAGTCATGTAACCTTTTCAAGATAGGGAAGTCAAACAACTCAAAGGGAAAATGAAAGTCTCTACAAGCAAGTGGCCACCAGTTAATAATCATTACCTTGTCAGTCTCAAGTAGGCAACCGGCCTTTGACAGTAACCTGAATATTCTATAAGCATCCCTCCCATATTTTTTCAGTACAACTGATTCCATCTGCCATATAAAAATGCCATTACACATCTACCTCAAACCCCAGTAATTTAATGCTTCATATATTTAAAAACAACAAATAAATAAAAGCGAAAAAGAAAAGAAAAGAAAATACCTCATCATTCTGAGCTAGTTCAATAATTTTCTCAAATTCTGTTCAAGAAATATGAATGAGTAATGGAAATATAAGAATAAATCAATCATCCAAAACAAGATTGAATGAACAAAGAAGGTATAATGTACCAACGCTATATGAACCATTGGATTCTTTCACAAGTGGTGGATGACCCAACTGAATAAGGGAAGCTTTGACATGATCAAGGGTCATATTACGACCTGCTTCACTCTTTATTACCTCTTCATAAATAGAACCCAGTGACAATGGAACTGCAAGGAAGTTGCATGACTCAATGGATCAAATTTATTTATTTGCCTGCATTCTTGTGTATATATCTCTTAAAACTAGCTTCATTGCCCCCAAAGAAATTAATACAGAAAAGAGCAACGAAGAAGAGAAGAATCATTAGTACAGTAAGAACACATTGAAGAAACCTGAATTTCTTGTTTTCACTTTCTGCTCGGCACTTCTAGTTGCCTCCAACATTGCACCTAAAACAGTGGCAGCTCCATCATCTAGGCGTACTCTCACAGTTTCGATGCAAGCCTAGAATGTCATACATGATCAGAGGCCATCCAATAGTATGCAGGAAACATATTAAAAAGTAGCAGAATAAAATTATATTTTTTATCTTGTCTAAGACTTTGACAACTTGTTAAATTAAAAAAATTAAAATAATTTCACATGAAAACCATTACCAATGCCTATAAAGCAATTAAAAAAGGGGGAAAGTCTTTTATTTGGAGCGTACTCCTTTCTGCACCACCTTGAGCCTTGCTTTTCTCATTGCAAGGGTAACAGAAACAGAGAACCCCTAAAGTTTCAAAAAGCGGTATTTTGCTTCCTTTATCAAACTTAGGTTAATGGAAATTAACTTAAAATTATCGATTATCGCCTCATATGACAGTGTTAGTGGCCTTTTTTTCCCCTGTTCAAGAAATAGAAGTGGCAGCTTTACGCTACTGAAGATTAGGTATAAACCTAGTTCATCAAAGAATAGAATAGCAGAAATATCCCCACAACAGCAAAATTATTATCACTAAAACAGTCAACTGTGGTGCAAGCCACTTTTATTTTCAAAACTTCCAGATGATAGTTAACACAGAGGTAAATTGCTACAGATTGAGCAAATTTGACGCTTTCCCAATAAATTTTAGAAAGCAATTTATTAAGATGCTTGACCACTTGATCACAAGTCTAATAATCAATAAACCATTAAGAGAGTACACAATGTTGGCATGAAGACAGTTTAAGCCTGAACATTCTCACAATAGAAGATTTAACAAGACAAAATGATAATTGTCTTGATTTCCTGCACTTAGATGTACAATTAAAAAACAAATGTGAAAACCAACCTTATGCCTAAGACGACGAATGAATTCCCCAAAATTGGCACGGTAGAGAACTGTTAGTTCATCCGCGGCCCCACATTCATCTGACTCCAGAGCATCATGCTTGCGCTATAGAATAAGAAAATCATAAGTTAAAATATGATCAAAAGTTTTCACTTTGGAAAAAAAAAAAGTGAAAACAAAAAAAGTCTATTTCCAACCTTCTCTCCAAGAGTAATGCTAGTCGAATTACTGTCATTTTTTTCCCCGTGAACATCAGAATCAGTACTTATAACTGAAAATCTCAATGCTTCCACAGGTGCTGCTGCTGCTACAGCTCGTTGTTCAATGGTTTCTGGTTCTTCAATTAACTGAGAATGGATTGAAGCAAACAATGTGAAAATGTTCATATTCTAAATACACATTCAAAATTAGATGGTACTCTTAAATAACAAGTTGTAATTAGATTGTGATACCAAAGATTCTAAAAGTCCATTTTCAGAAAATAAAGGTTCTTCTTTTTGGCCAAAAAAACAAAGGTTCATTTCCATTTATTTTAGCCTAATTCTTAATCACAAATACAAGCTCACAATCAAATCTGATCCCAACCAAGAGACAATACCAAAGCATCAGATTTTGCAAATGGATTGACATAGGAAAACAAACCTTACTATGCAACAAAATTTAAATACACATTTACAGAGTGCACTCAATCTATAAAATAAAACTCTTACAAAAATATAAATATACACTGTTCTTTTTCAATTATCATTTCATTTAATTGAGTACGTAGTATACTACGTCCTCATTTTACCAGGTTGTGCTGAAACAAAGCTCAGGGCACACACCCATTACAGAGAGATGCCTTCAAGACCATGAAGACAGTCACATCTTAGAATATGTTTAGCCCTCTTTACATATAACCTATAAAAGTTGGATCTCCAAGACAACAAGAAACCCAAATATTAGTATCAATCAAACATCAAAATATACTCAGGCCTGTTTCCCAGCTTCTGTGACAGACTAGATTCCCACTATTAGAATTTTTGATAAGATTATTAGCTCTATCGTCATAGTTAAGACAGGAAAAATGCGCTTTGAACTGCAATCAGCAAGAACATACGCAGATATACATATTGATTGACAGTTTGTCTTGCTCCAAAGCAAGAATACCGAAACTTATGAATTTGACATGAATATGCAAATACCTTAGAGGACTTAGAACCTCGCTTCCTTGTAGGAGTTTCTTCTTCTGTTGCTGCCATAAGAAGTGGTTCAGGGGCTGGGCAGCGCTCAACGTAATGAGCAGTTGCAAGATTAAAAAGAGATTCTCGAACAGAATCCAGAACCACAGATGTTCCTGGAAGAATATAATCTGTACATTAACTGAAAATGGATTGGTTTGGTTTAGGAAAATTTAATAACCAGAATTAAACTCTTTGGGAACCTAGATTTCTCTGCCGCACTACTCATGTTACTTTATACGTGAAAGCACCTTAAGCTATTCAATCCATGCAGTATATTTCACTGTGCAACAATCTATATTTTAACACATGCCTACATAGGGATGACCATAAAAAAGCCTTACACAAATAAAATGGCAACAATACAGGAAATTGAGCGCCATGTACAAACTTAGAGACTTATTTGATTGAAGTCACTTTTGGGCACACTATCATAAATTTGATCCAATGTTGATTATGTCATACATGATACATGTTTAAAGAGTAACTGAGGAGACAAGAAAAGTACCCTTAATTATTGAAATACTATGATAATGAGAAAAGAATAAGGAAAACGCAAAAAGATAAAATGACTTGCCTTCTTTTTCGCTTGATTTAGCTCTATCAAACATTTGTTTCAGTGTAAGCCTACCATGTTCAAGCAACCCCTGAAGAAGCTCTACACACTGTAAAACCAAGGTCAACAAAGAACAAAAGTAAAAATTCACCCCACACTAGATATCGTTACTAAAAATCAAAATTTCAAAGCAAGATTAAAACAACTAACTTGTTTATCAAATTCCTGGGATGCAATTGTCAAAAACTTGGCAAACCTCACGCGATGAAGAATATTATCAAACAATGCCACATACTGTGTATTAAGCCTCGGCTCATCTCCAAAACCACCTACACATACAAAATATTTAAAACAATCCAGACACAATCACCTTGCCTTTCAATAATGTGAAATTCAAAACTAACCAAATACACGTTTAGAAAAGTTTTAAGAATAGCAACGAGGAGAAAATGAAAACCTGATTGTTCGGTAATGAAAGCTTGAACGCAATTCTGCTGGATTAAGACGAGTAAAGAGTTCTTGACTTGTTCATCGGAGAGTTCAGTATATCGCTTTATATTTTGTCTGTTTAGGGGCCCTCGACGGAGAAGACATTCACACACTTTCTGTAAACATTAGTAAAATGATTCAAAATCGAATGGTAATCAGGGCATATATAAATTAAAAAAAGGAAGAGAGCGATACAGCGACTCGATCGCCGAAGTGATTGGTGATGATATGGACGGCGAACTTGGTGCCGTGTTGAGTCACCATCGTTACTTCGTTTGGTTACTCTTCACTGTGATGAGAAAAGAGAAAGTGAGCAGCAAAAATCTGGGGGCGGGAAGAGTCACTACTGGGAAACAGGTAGGGTAAGTTATAGTAATTATATTATTATATAATTTGTCGCTACTAGCCAGTAGGGGTCCATAGCTCAGTGGTAGAGCAATTGACTGCAGATCAATAGGTCACCGGTTCGAACCCGGTTGGGCCCTTAAATTCATTTAAATTTTTCTTTTAAACCTTTAAAGTATATCAAACCCTTTTATTTGCTACAATTTTTTTTTTTTTTTTTTTAAATATTATCTACTCCACCATTGGATGGTGATTTCATCTTTAAGCAAAATTGGCATTTACCTTTAAATTAAATTAAGAAATGAATAGTTTACAATGTTAGCATACACAAAATGTGATAACCATGATCGCATGGAGTGGGCTAGCTAGTACCTAGATTGAAGGGCTTTTGTGGGTTGCAGTTGGGATTTGGACTTATTTCAGGATTGGTAGCATGGACCAGGCACTTGCATTAGTAGTGATTATTGCTACAATTTTAAGTTGGGAATGATAACCAGGGGCATTCAAAATCGGTTAACTGATTTTTGAATCAAACTGATTTTTCAGTTTAGGAATTTTCTTGAACCGAAACTGAATCAATTAAGAGAAAAACCCGTTAGTAAAAATCGGTTAATCAGTTTTAACCGGTTTCAATTTAATATTTTTATAATAAATCAGATGTTTTTATTTTTTATTTTAATTTAATAGTTTTATAATAAACCGGTTAGTAAATTAGTTTTTATATTCTCCTAAACCGGTAACCGAACCGAAAATTCAGTTTTTTATTTTAAACTGCAACCGAACCGATTTTTCAGATAACTAAAAAACCGATTCGGTTCGATTTTTGCATTTTTTTTAACACCGCTAATGATAACTTAGTTTAGGCTTGGTAGCATGGACATGAAAGTTGAAACATAACATTATATTAATAAATTCAAATACATATAACTTTCATCTAAATTTGGGAAAACTTTTACAAGTTTACAGAGTATTTTAAGACTTTAAATTGTCCATTTGATACAAATCAAAATTATCAATTTGATTTGACAGATTTCTTTTATTATTATTGAATTTGGTATTTTATATAATAATAATAATATTATTATTATTACTTCATCCTTATGATGTTTATGGTTTTGACTGTAAATTGTTAATCATCTACGAAATGGAGATAATTATTACATAATTAAGTCATAATTTAAGCACATGAACCTAGAGCGAAAAGCAAAAGGCTATCAGCAAAGCCGTGCATAGTTCACTTGAGGTTTTAATGATCTTATGACATTTGTGTATTTTTATTTACGTATAGTTTAGATCTATATGTCTAGTATATTCTTATTCTGGAATTATCAATCACAAGCTTTTAAAAACTCAGATTTGAACTCAAATCAGAAGAGGATCCTGATCTTGTAGTTTGCAGTCAACTTTATTGACGTGTTCGTGTGTGATTCATACACAACATTATATAGCTAGGTGTTGAGAATTTGAAGAGGAAAGACAAGGTATAGGTGCTCATGTGATCGCATGAGATGGATATTTTTCTTCTTTATAATAAACAGAAATGGAGACATAATATCCTCACTAGCACGTGAAAAGAAAGTAAAGTAAGTGGGAATTGGAAAACATAGTGAAAAGGTGGAAGAAAATAATAGAAAGTAAAATGGAATTGAGTCGTAAAGAGGGAGAGCATAAAGACCCCACAAGCATCGAATCCAGGAAACATATTGATGTAAATGGATCGCCATCTCGTCAAAGAGATAATGCTCGTGTGTGTGTGTGTGATTCGGTCTTGGTAGGTTTCACATTAACTCCCAACACGTCACATAAGCATGCTTCTGTATATTTACAGTTCCATGCCAATGACTTCTATCATCATCACACATTTAATGACAGACACTATCAAGCCATTAATGGATTATTCTATCTAATGATCCAGTTACTATGCAACACATTTTAATGTGGTGACTAGGCTTTTTTCACCTTTCTTTTCACTTTTCCTTTATGCCAATCCAGTTCTTATGTCTATTCCACAATGATATTTTCATAATGAGTTTCTAATACAATTTTTTTTTTTTTTTTTATCATCCAGAGTGTCTAAACCAACTTGTACATATCTTAATTAATCTTTCAAAGTTCTGAAACTACCGATCGGATAAGAGTTCCAATATTATTTCTAATTTGTCGAAGTAATGGATATATTGATTAGTAAATGTTGAGAATTCCCACCGATTATCAATCAGACGATGGCAAGTAAAAGCTAATTGGGAATTGACTAGCTAGGAACGTTTCTCTCAAGAATTAATTAAAATGGTGAATTACGTAGACGTACGTTACACAAAAAGCTTCTTTGTGGGTATAATTTGTTGTTTGATTGCAACTCTTAATGGTATTAAGTCCAAGTAAAGTATATAAATTCAGTGGAGAATCTTTCTATGAACATAATTATCTGGATATGAAGATAAGATGGTAATCAAAGAAGAGAATAGAATTATAATTAAGGTCATTTTCAGTAATGGACATAAGTGCTGAGTTTCTTCCTAGCACCATTAATTAGTTGTTTGATTGCAACTCTTACCTGTCTTAAAACCAAAATAACTCTCTCTTTATCTTCTCTGACCTTATTACTAACTTACCCTTGTACGTAATTGCTGAGCCTAAAACTTTAATTACTTCTGAATCAATCTTTCCTTTAATAAATGAGAAAAAGAAATCTTGGGAATCCCATACAAATGAAGGTTGTTCCAACTCAATTTTCCATCTAATTTTGGGTTTAATTCAGGTCAGTTTCACGTAACCTCAACTAATCTGAAATCCATTTAATACCTTATAAATTCTCGAATAACCTCTGGTACCCTAAAAACTTGTTACTAGCCACAAGTCTAGAGGTTATGTCAATGTGAATCTAGCCATTTCAATAAACACTTTTAATAGCAATTATTTTTATAATAGCGATAATATAGTTCAGCATTAGCAATTGGAGCTAAAAAGAAGTCATAAATATCTGTTGAATACGTTTTCATTTAATGGCAATATATCATCACAATTTTTCACTGGGCATGATAACAGTGAAGAGAACTAGAAGTTTTTTTTTTTTTTTTTTTTTTTTTGTCTCTGGTATTATAGATAAAAATCCCTACCCTAAATAAGTTGAATCTTTTGGAGGCTAAATCTGAATGGAGATAGTTTGTAATTTCACTGAAAGAGAGAGTATTGAGGCTGCCTAACTTGCAGCCACACCGAGGTGCGTGACAAATAACGTGAACAGTGTATAGCCAGCCAAAAACACCTCACCTTTCTCTATCTCTTGTCTCTATAAATCAACAAACTTGTTAAGCCCGCCCCCTTCCTCAAACTTTCCTCTCTTCCAACTAAACCTCTTTCTTTATTTCAACTGTTCTTCTGCAACAATTCTCTTCAATTAATTCATCTTTGCTTTATATATATAGTTCTTATTGCAGGTGGAGATTTCCAAAGGGCCGCATTGATCTAATGTACTTCTGCGTTAATTTGTTTATTGATTAGATCATGCGATCCCTTAGGAATTTCCCATCAATAGCTCTAAATTCATGCGTTCTGATCTCTTCCAGGTATGCTTTCGGATTCATATTTTCCCATTAAAATTGCCTGGAATATAATGTTTATATATACTTTCTTTCTCCTGTGAACTATATATATATATATATATTTATCTTCCCTCTCTCTGATTTACATATTGTAAGATTAGATTATGTCTGATATAATTAGAATGAAACAGATGCATATATATTACCAGGAGTACTATACTTAGCATGTAAGTAAGTAATTTTATGAAAGATTATACCATAGTCGTTGAGAAAGAGAAATATCCCTTTTCTATCGTAAGAGTAGTTGCTCACCCACTGAATCTGTTCAAAATTTTGTATTATCCTTGATGTTTTGTTACCAGATTGCTATCCTTTGAGTCAGTGAGTATTTGACCACTGTTACTTTGTCCACATTCCAAAAGATAATATTCTAGCTTTTAAAATGATTCCCACTTCTCCTTTCGTATACACCGTGGTAAATTGATCTTTTTTTCCAGTTTTATTCTGATCTTTTAAGTATCTGAAATCTGGAAAAAGTTTATTAAAAATAGAGTACTTAAGATGATTTTCCAACTGAAACCTTGGCTATTTAGGACTCTAAGCTCGACTCAACAATCTCCCCACTTGAACGAGACCCTGATGATATATAGCAATTCCAACCTTCTTAACCAAAACAATATTGTTTTTGGATCAAATACTTATCTATGGAATAGATTGAATGACGAGATTCTCATAGTTTATGATAATGAATGAGATTATTGCTTGATTGGAGGTTTAACTAGTTTAGGTTATATAATAAAGCACCCAAGAATAAATAAAACCGTGTGAATTGAGCCAATACAAAACAACATACACAGGATTGGTGGTGCTTCTTTTGAAACTGCAGACATTTCATGGAGCGCCTTCATTGAATATCCTTATTCATTTATCAATTTTTTCTTTTCTGAAATATATTATTTATGTTTAAGGCCTCAAGAGCATATTCAATTGATTAATCTCTCTTTCTCCATGTCTACTCAGACTTTTAAAATGTTGTCGTGTATAACTATTTTTGTCCTTCAGCTGAATCGAGTCGACTGCTATAGATATTTTGGGTTATAACAAAGACTTACTGCAAGAAAAATCTTCCAAAACCCTAAAAGATATTCTTAGACGAACTCTCTGGCAAAATCAAAATACAAACGTCCTTAAGGACAAACCTCTGAGTCGCAATCATGCTGTCAGATTTTTAATTTTTATTCCAGTGACCAGATGAATTTACCTGTACTCGTGGCCACTGCCATGGAAACTTCAAAACATATCGCCAAAAAAGATTCTAATACTGTTTCGCAATAGTAGAAATGTTAGACCTAGTATCAATCACTGTTATATTAATAGTTTCATGTTTGTCTGCGACTACTTTCAGTATTCAAAATCGGAAGCAACCTTTAATTATTGATTGCA